ATATAAGAGGAAATGTGTGATGTTTAAGCTTATTTGTCTGATTCACTTCACTTAACATTATGGTCACAAGGTGCATCCACTTTCCTACAAATAATTAAAGTTTATCCTTCTTTATGGCTGAGTAGTATTCCATTGTATGAAAATACTTCATAATCTTTATCTATTAATCTGTTGATGGACATACACACTACTTCCAAGATTTAGCTATTATGAATTGTGCTGCTATACACATGGATGTACATGTATCACTGTAATGTGATGTTGATATTTTGACTGGGATAATTATTTGTTGCAGGACATGTCCTGTTCATTGTAGGATATTTCACATCATCCTGGTTTCTATTCACTAGATTACAGTAGCATCATCCAGTTATAATAATCAAGAAGATCTCCAGATGTGAATCATAGGTTTCTTTGGGAGTTAAATTGAGCCCTGTCGAAAAACCTCAGCAGCACAGGAACTAGGCACAGAGAATCAACAACTGGGATCTCATCCTATTAAAAAGGCTTGGCACTGCAAGGGAAACCACCAACAGAGATAAGAGACAATCTACAATGTGGGAAAAAAATTTTATCAGCTGTTCCTCAGACAAAGAACTACTATCTAGAATATATAAAGAACTTTAAAAAATCAGACCCCCCAAATATATAGACCCAATTCAAAAGTGGGCATCTGAAGTGAAAAGACATTTCTCAGACAAAGAAATAAAAGCAACAAATAAACATATGAAAAAATGTTCAACATCACTCGTCATTTGAGAGATGCAAATGAAAATAACACTGAGATTCCATCTCACTCCAGAGAGAATGGCTGTATCAAGAAATCAACCAATAACCAATGCTGGTGGAGTTGTGTGGAGAAAGGAACCCTTCTCCATTGCTGGTGGGAGTGCAGACTGGTGCAACCACTGTGGAAATCAATATGGAGATACCTCAAAAAAACTAGGATTAGAGGTCCCATTTGAGCCAACTATTCCCCTGCTGAGTATCTTCCCCAAAGAATTAAAAGAATCATACCACAGCAATATATGTGCACCCATGTTTATAGTGGCATAGTTTGTAATAGTTAAAGCTTGGAAGCAGCCCAATTCCCCATCAACTGGAGACTGGATAAAGAAGATGTGGTTTTTTTATAAAATGGAGTAGTACTCAGCCATAAAGAACGAGAAACTAGAGACAGTTATAGCTAAATGGATGCACATTGAGGCTATACTCTTAAGTGAAATAAATAGCACACACATGTGTAAATACCGAATAGTTTCTGTGGTGTGAGAAAAAGTGTAAATAAGGATCAAAATATATAATTGATAATGGAAATAGGAAGAAAAGGTCTAAAGTGGTAGGGGAAGGGGGAGAAGTAGAGGAAAGGAAAGAAGGGAAAGGAAAAAATGGAAACAAAGTCTCTGTAAATAGGGAGGGATGGACGGGTGGAAGAGAGAGCAGGGGAATGGGGAAAAAATAAGAACTAAGATACATCATGTAAAGGTACAAATTCCCAATGATGAATGTAACTGTACTGTATACCTAAAATGTACCAATAAACTTAATGAAAAAAATATTGAGCCCTGTCAAGAACCACTAGGAAAGACATAAAGAATGTGTTCAAAGTTCTTTGTTCAATGGTTAAATAAGTGACAAAAGATTGAAGTGTAGAACCTGTAGGAATGAATCTTTCAACTCAAGATAAAGATGAAGGGATAAGTACATGATGGAATAGAACCCAGTAGCAAATCACAACCACTGTGGAACCTGGCAGAGACACCTAGAAAACAACTACTTAGCAAGGAAAGAGAGAAGAAGAGATCTGGGAATCAAAATAGATATAACAGAAATCTAAAAACCATAGAGAAATGGAAGACAACAGAGATAAAAGGACAAAGTAGTGTGGAACACTTAACTCCAGCCCCAGTGTGTAGAGGAGAACCTGACATCACAGCCTAAGGAGAGGCCCAGCCCAGTGATAAATAACAGACTGGCAGCACTGACCCCAGGAAAAATCCAGTTATTGTAAGATGCAAATCCAGGGACAGAGAAGGGGTTACTCTGAAAGAGACTCCTTCTGTATGGGAGGCTGGCACTGGAGAAGAAATCCACCACAGCACCCACCATATGTATGAGTGGAACAATCAACAACCACTTTGAGAAGGGCTTTATTGTTTAAGACTGAGCTACTCTGGGAATCAGAAGTCACAGAACAACCACACTTCAAGGTCTCTGGGGTCACCCTCTCATGGTGCCTCAGGAAAACGTTGTGGAGAAGGGAGGGCTTTTCAGACCTGAGAAGTTTAAGCAGCAGTGAACTCAGGCTATGGAGGACACAAGGGCCCCATCCTTTTTGGGGGGGAATCTAGACATGTGTAGTTTTCTGAGGGGGATGGATCTGCAAGTGTTGAGATTGAATCCAGTGGATTGCTTGGCTCGCCTCACTGTCTATTTTTAGCACAGAATTCAGTGGTCTTTTTCTCTTTCCATTCAACAAGGAGATCAAGGATGCAGCTGTACTCAGGCATTTGCCAGGCCCCAGGGTATACAGACAGAGGGGCCTCTGGAGCAAGTGGAGCAGCACAAAAGCACTCAGGCTGCAAAGTTACCTGGGGACAGTAGGAACTCAGAGATAGCAGTGGCTCAGGCCCATAGAAAGACACAAATAAACTCTAAAAGCCTCTGAAGGAACACGAGCTTGAGATGGAAAACATACAATTGACTGACACCTCCCAGTGGGAAAAAATGGGAAGGACTCAGCATTCACACTGCAAAAAGTGATTATGGAAATGCAACAAACCCTAGGCGTGACACCTCCATATCTGATGGATCCAATACTACAAGTATTGGAAAGAAAATACCCATCAAAAATCCTCAAAGTGGAAAAGTATTATGAACTCAACTCTCTTTTTCTTTGTTTTTTAGTGGGGGTTTTGGGGGGCATGGTTGGATAATTTTGTCCTTTTTTGTTTCTTTTTTATTCTTCTTTCTTCTGTATTTACTTTTTATTACTTTATCTAATTCTGTTTACCTTTTTAATTCTTTGATTTTAACTCACTTTTCTCATTTTACCTTCCTTTTCTTTCTTTCTTTTCTAAATTTTACTTCTCCCATTTTCCTTTTCCTCACTACCACATTTTTATTATTATTATTAACCTTCATTAATTTTCAGTCTTTTAGTTTATGTTGTTATTGGTGATTTCTATTGTTGATGGCTGTATAGTTGTTGCTTCTAATTGGTTTTTATTGTATGTCTACATCTGATTTGTTCTTGTCTCTCTATTATTATTTCTCATTTATTTTCTGTTGTCAATGGTGGTATAATTGTTTTAATTGACTTTTATTATATGTCAATATCTAGTTTGTCTCTGTGTCATTGGTATTACTGCCATTCATTTTCTTCTCTTTCTACTGGTGCTGGAGATCAAGCCCTCAAAACAAGGCTGGATACAAAGATGACTCTCAAATAAAAGTAGGAGATACATTCATCCCAACAGATGCACAAATCTCAATATAGAAACACATGAAGTGTTAATAAACAAGGCAACATAACTCCTTAAAATGTCTGTAGAATATCAGCAACTGAATGCAAAGCTTTTGAAGTTTATGTAATGCCAAGCAAAGAATTCACAAGACTAATTTATGAAATGATTAATGACTTCAAATAGTGCACAAATAAACAACTGAGTAAATTAAGGAAGACAATGCAGGATATGAAGGAGCAATTCAACAAAGAGGTGAGGATTCTGAAGATAAAACAAATACTTTTGTTCTGAAAACAAAAATTCTGGAGATGAAAAGAACAATAAATCAAATTTGAAATATTCAGTGGAAAGCCTCACCAACAGACAGGACCAGGCAGAATGCAGAATATCAGGGATTGAAAATAAAGTTCAGGAGTTACTATGTCCATATATTAAGGAAGAAATAATAAACAATAAATCATGAACAAAACTTCAAAGAATGTGGTTTTAAGGTAGAATTTATGAATTTTTATGGGGAAGAGGAAATTAAGGTTCAAACCCATGGTTGGTTTCATTCTAAGAATTCAAGGATGATTCAACATATGCAAATAAATAAGTGTAATACATTACATAAATAGGATCCAGGATACAAATCACATGATCCTCTCAATTAATTCAGAAAAAGACTTCCACAAAATTCAAAGTCTTCTCATGATAAAACCCCCAAAGAAACTAAGTATTGAAGGAGTATTCCTTATTATAGAAAAAGACATATAAAAACCCACAACCAACATCATTCTGAATGATGAGAAACAAAGCATTCTCTTTCTGGAACTTTCAACACTCTTAATCAATATATAGTTCTTGAATTTTTAAATAGAGCAATTAGGAAAGAAATAAAAAGTATATAAACAGGAAAGGAAGAAGCCAAATTACACTTGTTGGCAGATGATATGATCCTATACTAGGAAGACCTTAAATACTCTACAAAAGACTTCTAGAGCTGATAAATAAATTCAGCAATGTGGTATGATACAAAATCAACATTAAAAAATCAACAGTGGAATACCAGAGAAAGAAATCAGAAGAACAATCCATTTAGAGTAGACTCAAAAACTAATAATAATAAAATATCTCGAGATCATTCTACTCAAGGAGGTGAAACACTTCTACAATAAAAATTTCAGAACACTACTGAAAGAAATTGAAGAAGACACCATAAGATGGAAAAGCCTCCCACATTCATGGATTGGCAGAACTAACGTTGTCCAAATGACCATATTACCAACAGGGATCTACAGATTGAATGCAATCCCCATCAAAATACTTACAACATTCTTCACACAACTTATCGGTATAACCAATAAAAAATGTGAAAGAAATAAATTGACTGGAAAAAAAAAGGGAAAATGAAAGGAGGAAAATGTTAGCAATGTTATTATCATTACCCTGGCCTGGTCATCGCAGACCGGAGTCAGCTTCATGCTGGTAAGCTCAGACTGGTTCATCTTTGCATTACTGCGGAACCTGCTGGATTCCATATTTCAGCTTGCCATGACTGACTCTACTGGACTCAAGACACTGGGCCTCCCCCAGGAAATGCGGGTTATGGAAGCTAAGGGTGAATACAGTCTCCTTGCTTGGAACCACCCTGTGGATCACAGGCCCAGCACAGATGCCATGTGAGCATCAAGTGGGTATGCAGGACAGGCTCTATGTATGCACATGGACCCTAGGTATTTATGGCCTCAGGGAACATCTGAAAGGCCTGCTGTGGCATCTGTGACACCTCACATGCTGTGGTCTCTCCTCATGACACTCGCCCTGCCCCTGAGGTATACGCATCACTCATGCCATGGCCGACCTGCTGCCTGGGAGACCTTCCCTGAGCTCCTGAGCTGCAGGGGCCCCCCTCTGTCCTCTCTGTCCCAGCCTCTCTTGCTCTACCCTTCAAGTTCCCTCACACTGCCCTAACCTTTTCTGATCATTCACCCCTACAACCACACTTTCAAGTATTCTTATTCTTGTTCATTGCTTATTTTCTCTCTTCCTCCTTCCAAGAATGTAATCTCTATGAGAAAAAAATCTATTTTCTACATTCCAATTGTTTAAATAAGACCTCTTTACAGTAGGAATTCACTGAATACTTGCTAGACATTGAGTAAGGATATATTACTAGTAATGGGCATGAGACAGAGGCTGAGCATAGCTAGAAGTTAAAACAAGAATGAGGACAGAATGCTTAATTCTAAATACATGAGAGCGACATGGAAAGGAAGAGAAAGAAATGAAAAAACGAAGAAAAACGTGGTTAGACTAAGGGTTGGGGTACGGTTATCATTACGAAGAAAGAAAAGAGAACAAGTTTGAAGGAGCAGAAAGTGTCAGCAGAAGGAAACCTGAACAAGAAACAGAAATAAGTAGGATAAGGAAAATGAAGCCAAAGGTCAGAAACAAGGATTACAGAAAATCCTTCACACATTTTTTGACTCCGAAGAAGTCCACAGCGCTGTGGCGCTAGAAGGACCATAGATCCACGTGCACCAACACCTCCTGTCACTGAGGAAGAGCCGCTCACAGCTTTCCCACCCCCACCCCCAGGGTCAGGGCCACACACAGCGCAGCAACGAGAGCCCCAGTGCCAGGGTCCGCCGCGTATTCCCGAGGAGGACATGGGTCCTCTCCATCACAGCTGGCATCGCTCTACAGCATCGCTGCCCACAGCAGGAGCTGTGGCCCTGACTGCACTGGGGGCACATGCTGGGTCTCCCGGGGACGCTTCCTCCACGTGGCCGAACTCAGCTGCTCAGCGGAACCGTCCACGTGGCCTCAGTAATTCCTGGGTGCCTTACGGAGGAAGCCAGTGTCAGAGTGGTGAGGGAGACTTCGTTTCTTTGAGTGATTAGATGTTGATTTTCTTTCTAAGAATAAGAAACAGAAACATGAACTTCTACGGTGCTTTCTAATTGACGGAGAATAGTCATAAAGATCAATATCGGGTTTTGTAGGACAAATTCATCCATGAGGTAGGTATTGTTGTCCACTTGAACAGAAAAGCGAGCTCTGATGAGGCGTTTACTGGTCCAGTGTCACATATCTAATAAGTATAAACCCAGGATGAAACTCAGGTCTTCTGGTTTTCTACAATGTCATCCTCACCTTCCCCAACCCTAGTGATAGGCAGAGACTTCTACGAGGTTCTAGAAAACCTCCTCTTCTCCTCAACTACAGGCCTACTGTGTCCTATCAATAAACAAACAAAGCAGGCAAACGTGATTATGTATGTATCTGCTATTAACCCAGTCTTGGGCTCTGCTACATTATATATTTAAGAAAATAAAGAGACAATTGCCAACTTCAGCTTTATACAAAGGACACTATGTAAGTGAAGACTTTAAATATCTTCAGATGAACAGTTCATAAACTGTCTTCCTTAGAATGAGAATTCTTCTTTGAGTCCTTAGAAATGGGCTTTTGGGGTCAACTGAAAAACATGCATCCCTGACCCTAAAGAATCACCACACATATCAACCAAATAATTTCTGTGGGGTCCTGATGTGAAGCATCCAACTGAATATTACATCAAAAGTTTTCACTATAGGATACATTATCTTCATACTGCTTATGATTTCAATCTCAATGCTTGAAATAAGTGAGCTTTGTCATATGCTCCTATGTGCATGAAAATAACACTAGGAGAAAAGTCAGAAGACCTGAATTTCATCCTGGATTTATATTTCTTAAAGATATATGAAGAAGGAGCAGGACATAGCCGGTTAGTGCAGAGGAACAAAGTGTCCAAGGCAGAAGGAGCTGAGGGTGCAGAGTTCCCAGAGGAAGACACCACGGCAAGGAACTGAAAGTGCCAGGCAGAGCTGGGGCAGAGACCTGAGGGGAAAGGAGGAGAAAAATACCTACAAGTCTGGCAGGCACTGAGCGTCCCTCACTGAGCACCCACAGCAAGTCTACAGGGGATCCCCAGTGTGCCCTCTCTGAATAATAATCGGAGGCTTGTGGAGATTCATAATCTTGTCCCTGGTTCAGAGCTGTCTTAAAAATGTAATTAACGTGGACATCGAACAGCATTACCATGAAGAGAAATAATTTGTGGCAGGAAAAGTTTTGAGAAGTTCAGGAATTATTCTACAAAGAGGCTGCATAGCAGCATACGGAGTTGGGCGTTTGATTCATAATCCATCCTTTCTGCTTGGGATTCTGCACTCTTGACCAAGTTTCATAACCTTCAACGCAAATGAAAAGAGATAACACGGCCAGTAGGGGGCGCCACTCTTCCCTCACCCATTAGAATGCAGGTTCAGGCCTCAGGTATACCAATAACTACCATCTGCCTTTGGAGAAGAGTTTATCTCCAGGAATATCAGGTGATGCATGTAGGTTGTGAAAAGATTATTACTAGGTTTTCTACATTCCTTTATATTTCCAGCACGTAGAAATTCAATTTTATATTTTCATATGTTACCAAAAAGCACATATTTGACCTATGACTTGGTTTTCCTAGAATTCCATGACTCCTTCACATTTTCAAGAGTGTTTGGCTTTTAAAGCACAATGTTAAAGTATTGACAATACGCATATATTACCCATTGCAAAGCCCCTGTTATCCACTGAGGGGTAACTGCTACATATCCATTTCTCAGCGTTACCAAACTTATGTTTCAGCAAGTACATCGGTAGTTTAATCGCTCTGCTTCTCACTGTCCACTAATCAGCTGAATCCAAGTTCGCTTTTATTTGCACATAGCAAATGAGTATAAGTAAATAACCACTGGACACTGAAAAACTCAGAACTATGTAAGGCTAAAGTAATTACAGCACGATGGGGTAGTAGAAGAAGCCACTGAACATTGATTGGCCTTGAAAGGATGTGTAGGGGCTGTTATGTTTGATGACAGATTAATTCAACTTAGTTCAAATAAATCAGGTATGGTAAGATGTGGGTGTGAAAAAGATGCTTATTCTGGACCTCAGAGAGCTTCTAACCCTGATTAAATATTTGTCAACAGGAGCTCCATGGTCTAAGCCTCAGCTCACCAAGGCAGCAATGTGGACGCCCAGAAGTCAGGAGCATTCTGCGAAGAGAGGACAGCAGGGCTGGGAAGTTCTTCGAGCATCTCCGGGAAGAGCGGTGGAGCACTGCGAATGGTGAACGCAGATTATAGATTTGCACGGACTCCCGGGTGATAAGGAAATGAAGCTTTTGGTCCCTCATAGCATACGATAAGAAGAAGATGCAGGTTCAGAGTAGGAATTTTGTTTGTGCCTTGTTGTTGTAGACATGAAGTAAACAGGTGGCCCAGATCACGTTACTCAGGAAGTTTTAGAAGCAGGGAACACCTCAGCCATTAACCAGGTAGACATATTGCAACGCTCAGCATTGCACTTGTGGCCAGGGACAGATTACTGTGACATAAGTGGTGAAAGGAGTAGAATTTGGGTGAGGGCGTTGATTCGTTCCACTTGATTGTTTCAACAAAGGGGAAATTTTCACAAACATTGTGCCACATAACCAGTACAACTTGAATGCTGTCCCTCACAGCAAAGACGCTATTTGTTCCTGACTTCGTGGACAGTTGAGGGGAACTGCATGTTTACGCTGCACGATAACATTAGCCTCACCAACTCCTGTTTTGGTCAAATGCTGTACTGAAAAATGTAATTACTATTCACTATACTTCACCCCACTGCCTCAAATGCTTTGCTATTAAGACTGCATGCAAGGATAGATATATGTCACAACTGATGGATTTAAGAACATAGTTCCCAATAGAGTTCCAGTAGTGATTTGAATGATGCAAAAAAAAAAAAAAATTAGAGTAAGTCAAAAGCTTTTGAAAATCTTCCATGTGAAAGAAAACACTAATTTATATACATGAACTTTGATTTGTACGGCTCTTCTTTCTAAGGTATAGTCTTATCTTGATTTAATGCTCCACTTTTCCAAGCCATCATGGTAGTGATTTGTCCGGGCAGATGTGAGGCTCCTGTTATGATATCTCGCTTGGTACACAGATTGCATTAGGGAATCAGTTACACCAAGCAATGAGATCAATGTGAAAATTAAATTACCCAGTGAGGAGCCTGGGCCTCAAACCCAGATCTCACTGACCACAGAATCCACATCATCAGCACTCTACTACCCTTCCTTCCCAACATGGTTGAAACATCAAATGATAGAGGAAGATTTTTAAGTCATTATACAACTGCAAGATTGAGTTTTCTCATCATAAAATTTATAAATAGAGAAAACATAAGCCAAACACAAAAAGATCCACAACCCCACCAACCTAGCAATACTTGTTGTTAATATCTTTATTTTATGAATAAATATAATTTTTAAATGGAATCGTTATAGAATGTTTTCCAATTTACTTTTTTGTGAGCTTTCCCAATCTTATTATTTTTCTACAATTTCCTTTTCAAGCAATTTCACAGTAAGCCATTGCCTGCAGAGTTCATGATCACTGTGTATTCTCCTGTTGTTGGGAGGTAGGGGTGTAATTTTGTATGACTACGTTGACAACTGTGATGAGCATTTCCATCAATAAATTTATACACATAATTTATGAGAATAAATTCCTGAAAGCAATATTGCTGATTCAAAGTACATGTGTCTCTTCAAATTACTCATTATCAATTGTACCCCACAAATTTTATAGTAATTTATACTTCCAACTTGGATGTTTGGGGCTGTTTCTGTCCTTGCAGCTTTAACTACACCAAAAATTATCTTTGTTTCAGAACTTTTGGAAAGTCTATAAACAAAAAATAATATTGGATATTGATTGAATAAATATCTACTCAAATATTTACTTGAATACTAACAAAATTGGATTTTTATATATTTGTTTGCTTTTACATATTTCTCTTTTGAAAGTCCATAATTTGTTTTTCCGGCAATAGGCTTCTTTTTGGCCAAAGTGTAGACGTTCATTTTCTATTGTTTTATTGTCATTATTCTATTTGTTTATTGTGTTTTTAACCTATGAAAATTTTATATTTTTCTTTTACTAATATTTTATGGACTCTGCCCTTTGATCATTTGTTTATAAAGGTTTGTGTGTCTTGAGACATGAAAAATATTCTTCTATACTACTTTTCAGTTTAATTTCATTTCACTTTTTTAAATGTTTGAATTCTAAGTCCATCAGAAATAAATTGTGATGTGGATGCATTAAGGAATTGACTTAAAAGTGATTTTTGTTTTCCTAACATCCTATTAGCGAATTCACTTTTGTAAGTGATTTTAAGTAGTAATGATAGATGATATATGCTGAATGTGCCCTTAGGCCCAAACTGCTGAAAGCACTTTCACAAAATAACTCAGTGAAGTCTCGCCACCACCTGGAGAGGGAGAGAGTTGTATTTTCTGTTCTGTTTTCAGATGATAAATCAGATGAATATAACAAATAGGATGATACAATAATTGATTAAGAAAGAGACTCAGCCTGTGCTTAAATTCAAGTTCCTACATTTGCTACTGTGATATCGGACACGTCACTTACTCTCTTTGTGCACCAATTTCTACCTGTATAAAACTGACGTAAGAGCACCTTCAGAGCAGCTCGTGATGAAAGGAGTTATGAAATGTACAGTGCTCAGAACAATGCCTAACACAAAGACACAACACGACAATTGCCTATCATTAATGCTCCCGTTCGGTTCTATTGTGCCAGATCTCTGGTGCTGTACAGATTTCATTTTAATTAATGTTGCAATATATTTTGTAACCTATAATTCTTCGTGATATATTTTTAATCTCTCATGAGTGTTTTGCTCCATTGTGGCTCCTTTTGTTTTTCGTTCTTTTGTTTTTCATTCTTTTGTTTTGTTTTAACATTCTTTTGTCATTTTACTTCTTTGTCCTCCTGGGAATCTTGACAGGAATTGCATGGGATCCATGCATAATTTCAGAAAATTAACACTAAAACATTGAGTTTTTAAACCCAAACACATAAGTGGGAAGCTTAGCAGTTTCCTCCAGGGGTCCTTCTGGTCATCCTTTAAAGCTTTTATTTTTATTTTTATTTGCCATGATGTTTGCATTTGGTGTAGGGCACAGTGCAATGTTTCCATACATGGATATTTATTAGTTTCTACGCTTATTCACCAGTGTGTTATTACTCATTCATTCATTCATTCATTTTGGTTGTTTTGGAGAGAAGAACATTTTCTAACCAGTATAATGTTTTTTTGTTTTGTTTTGTTTTTTGGAACCGGGGATCAAACTCCGCTCCTTGCACTTGCGCAGCATGCACCGAAACCACTGAGCTAAATCCCCGGCCCCGGTATAATGTTTTTAAAAAGAAGAGGGAAAAAAAAGAAAATCAGGATCCAATGCATAAATGCACATCTTCCTTTTATTTTGCCTTAAATCATAAAATGGAACATTTCTTCACCAACCTTGCAGCATGTTGCCAAGGTATCTGCATTGCTTTTATGTTAAATGAAGGGAAAGCTTTCTTGTACACATCATGTAATAATCTCAGGTTTTACTTTTCAAGCACAAAATGACAGATAAATGAATGTCAAATTTAAACATAAAATTTTACCAACTTTTCTCATTTCTCCCTCTCCTTTCTTCTCGTTTCTCCCTAAGCCTTGTGCCCTTATTCCACAATTTTAGCAGCTTGTAGTAATAGGAAGTCCTTCTCAAGCATGCAATTATCAGTTTTCATTAAATATGCTTATATTTTCAATACCATTTTATTAGAAATTGCCATATTTACTAAAACTGCATATTACAGGAGACACATGTGGTGTGGGCAGGTTTGGGGGATCCGCATGCAGCCCAGAGTGGGTATGGATCCAGGAGAGCTCAGACAGACTCAGGGTAGTGACAAGAGTCTCGCGCCAGGGGAGTCCTGGGCACCGTAGGGAGCATGGGCCCCGCTAGCACACCAGCTAGGGGGGATTAATTAAGAGACCTCGACTGCGTCCCACAGGGACTAATCACCCTAATGAATATTTATTGATCCTAAGTTTTCAGCTGGTTCAGTAATTTTTTCAGCTGAACAATCCAATTTTTGTAACTTTTTCTGACTCTGGGCCTTGATTAGATCATAACACACAATGCTAAACAAAGGCGATGCAAGCCTTTCTTGTGTGAATGTGAGACAGTCTCTAGTGGAATATAAATCCCAATTAAACTTATTTTCATCAATGGAATATTTCCTTTTCTGAGCTGATTTCAAGCTGTGGTGATTGCTCTCACTTTCCTTCATTTTCAGCATTTTGCTCTCTCCTCTATTCATTTTTTAAAAATCTATTTGAAATGAATATATGGTGGCTTATACTACATGTGATGATTTAGAAAAAAGTTTCAGTAAATATTTCCCTAGTTAGTCACATCTAAATGAAATATTTCTTGCATCTTTCTTCACATGGGTTGAGGGTATTAGCATCTTCTCCTGTCTCCTATCTGCCCCTATTTATTACATAAATTGTGGTTTTGAATATGCACAGCTATTTTACTTGTGCAATTTATGTTATGTATGTTTTCAAGAATTATTCTTGGCAATTCTTTTCTGCTTTTAAGGGCATTTGCATTAATCATTTAACATTAAATATATATATATATTTACTATGTGATTATGCAAAGCATATTATTTTCCATTACAACTTCCCAGTCTTCAATTACTTATTCTGATTCATCACCTAACAAGCAGAGCCTCTGTGGAGTGGAGTGTTTTAACTGCACTTTGTATAATATATTTCCCAAGCCCCTGTAAATCTGAGAAAATCTTTGTGTTACCATTAAACATAAATCAATAAGGCCTGGGTGTAGAATTATTTCACAACATTTTGTTTTTCTTAAAATTCTGTAGATATTATTCTACTGTCTTGTGGCATTTATAATGTGAAAAAAAGCTGCAGTAGAACCTTAAAGTGCCACACTTGTTGGTATTTTTTCAAGCCAAATACATATAATATTCTAGATTGTTCTGATCCATAATTCAATCGTGCTATTAGTTTCCTTACTGTCTTCATATCCCAGGAAAATCCACTCTAATTTTAACCTGAATGATCAGTTCCCACTCATTTGATTTTGTCCAAATCCAAAAGTGTTATTTTTGGTTGGATATTTAAAGGCAATTTTCAAATAACCGAAAATATGAGAAGACTAAGACTGAGAAAAGATTGGAATAAGATAGTTTGCCTGGTTTTAAATGTAATCAAAACAACTGCATACTGTAAACTGAGCAGGGCACGAACAACTTAGAGGATAGCCACACAAGGGAGTACTGTGAAGCAAAGAACAGAGCCACCCGCTGCACTGCAGCCTGACCATGACACAGAGGCTGTGCCTGCAGATGGTGGCGGGCTCCGTGGGCCTCGCTCTCTTCCTGTCCCTGCAGCTCACCTCCCTGATCTTCTCCCTCCCCTTCTGTGGGCGCCACAGGGAAATCAACCACTTCCTCTGCGATGTGCCTCTGGTCCTGCGGCTGGCCTGTGCAGACATCCGCGTGCAGCAGGCCGTGCTCTACGTCGTGGGCATCCTGGTGCTGACCGTGCCCTTCCTGCTCATCTGCGTCTCCTACGGGTTTATCACAGCCGCCATCCTGCGCATCAGCTCCTCAGAGGGCCGGCAGCGCGCCTGCTCCACCTGCTCCTCAGGCCTCACAGCGGTCCTGCTGCAGTATAGCTGCTGCAGCCTGGTCTACCTGCAGCCACGCTCCAGCACCTTGGAGGACGAGGACCGCCACACCGCCCTGATCCACACTTTTGTCACCCCCTTACTCAACCCCTTGATTTACACCCTGCAGAACAAGGATGTTGAAGGTGCCCTGCGAGGTGCCATGGTGAGCAAAGGGTCCCTGAGGCCGGCTGCAGGCCCGGGGAGGCTGGTGGGCAGCGTCTGGCTTTGTCCTGCTCAGCGGCTCTACACGACCAGCAGAATCACGCTGTCTACTGTCCCGACTTCTCGCGTGCTGTTCTTTGTACCATGGTGCCTTCGGCCCACAGACTGACTCTTCTTAAAGTCCTATGAGTTAGATTTAAGACTAGAAGAAGCTCCCAACACTTAGCTCCGGTCCACTTAGCTCCACTTTGAAGGCTCTCAGCTCAGCCAGGGCCTGTGCTCATCTGGAGCCCCAGGCCTGCGGCAAGGAAAGACACAAACCCACTTACCCAAGATACACAGCCTCCTAAGGACTCAGGGACATTGGTTTATCCTGCTGGAGGGTCTCAAGTAAGGAGCATTCGTAGATGTTTGTTTCATTCAGGGAAAAATATTGCATTACAACAATGTTAGCTCTGAGTGTTCAGTAAACTGCAGGTTATCTAAAGCCTGAGTTTTCTACTTTCCATAAATTCCACTGGTGGCCTTCATTTTCTTCATTCCGCCACACCAGGAAGAGGATAGGCGTTAGCTCTCATTGACTGAGCACCGTGCCAGGGCACCAAGCATGTGTTCCTGCCAGTACCCCTGTGGGTACAGTGAGAGGAAGCACTCCCACCAGAGCTTGCTATCCTACATCCACCCAGTAGGGGGCGCTGCTGTTCCTCCCACCTCTTTCAGGTACTGTACCTGTGCCCAGATGCCTGATAAACCCTCAGTAGACTTCACTTCCTTCTCCGGTGCTCACAGCAGACACTGTACTGCCCAGCCTCAGGTACATCTTGAGGAGCAATGGGATGTGCAGGGCTCAGGCACCAGTCTGGCGCACTCAGTCTGTAAAGCTGATTTTAGTCAGCCACACCCAAGGAGAGTGTGGGCGTTAAGGCTGACCCAGGAAATTGGTGAGCCCTTTCCGAATGCCACAGGACTGAATATCCTGGAGGTCTTGAAAAGTTCCTGTCCTTTGATCTGCTAATTATCTTTTAAACACCTTAGAAAATTAACATAGTCAAAAAAAATATAAAATATAAAGCAATTTCTTACAGTTATAAAATGAAAAGTGAAATCTAAGTGCCAACCATAATGGACACAGGCTTAAATCATATTCAGAATATTTAATCATTAAATATAATGCTTATCATGATACCTTATGTGAAAAAAAATCAAGATTCAAACATATTTATAAGAGCCCAATTTCATAGAAATATACATGTACAATCATAAATAGAAACGCACTTGACCGTAGTTACCTGCGATTGTAGGGTTATTGATAATTTTCATTTCTGCCCTAATGACAGGTACATTTGCCATGCTTTCTATAGGACAGCGTCCTTATAATCAGATAAATGAAAATTTCTAAAAGTAACATGAGGTGGGTGCAGATTTACTTGGCACGCAAACTCATCATTACAACTGGGACCCACTTTTTATATTTTTCCAAGGCTAGCACACTTTCTGTTGGTTTTTCCTTTTTTCCTTCAAAACTGCTTTTGGAGCACTCAGTAGATGTTTAAGCAGATGTCATATGGGGACATGGAGAAGGACTACAGCGTGTGCCTTATTCTGGGGACAGCCATGGGGTTGACAACATGTGAAAGCTTTGGTGTGGAGTAAATGCAGGAGGAGAATTCAGGTCCCTGAGAGCTGCTCTCAGCCCATCTGAGCCAAGTCAACACACGAGGAGTCAATTTCCTGCACACCGTGCTGGGCATTGTCCAAAACACCACCAAAAGACAAATTTGTGTTTTTCATATCTCCTCTCACTCTTCCCCACCCCCATTAAGTTTATTGGTACATTTTTGGTATACAATACAGTTACATTCATCATTGGGATCTTGTACCATTACATGAGTCTCTTGGCTCTTATTTTTTTCCCCTTCCCTTGCCCTCCCTTCACCCCCTCCACCCGTCCCTATTTGCAAAGACCTTGTTTCCATTTTTTTCCT